GGCCCTTGTTCTGTGTTTGGTGGTTTTCCTGTAGACATTTCATTGTACGGCTAGATAACACCATCACGTTAGAAGGGAGTAGGATGTACAGGGAGGAGGAGGAAGAGGAGGAAAGAGAGGAGAGGAGAGAAGGAGAAAGAGAAAGGAGGAAGAGGAGGAGGAGCGATCCTCTCCAGCTGTTAGGAGTACCTAGTCCTGGGATGGCCGGCCATTCCAGGGGTTATAAGTCCTACCGGGGAGTGGCCCCAGGAGGCCGTCACGAGGGGGAGTCCCGGGCTTGGCTCCTCTCCTCTCCTCTCCGAGGGCGGCTACAAAACCCCGGGAACTTCCAGCCGCGGCTCAGAAGTTGCCAAGCTCGCCGGAGGCTCTGCAGAAGCGCTCGCCATGGGAGACCCGGTGCTCGGCTGGCCGCTGGAAACGTGGGCGCTCGTCCTGCTGCTCCTGGCGCTGCTGATGCTGTAGGTGGGGGGGTCGGGGGAGGCTGGGGGGGGGGGGGGCAAAAGGGGGGGGAAACCCCTCCCCGGAGTCGCAGGGCTGAGGCTCCAGGCTGGGGCGCTTTCAGAGCTGCGTCAGTGCGCTCGGTGGAGCTTAAAAGCGGAAGGTCGAGCCGGGCCTTTTTTAAAAAATTGTAGTTCTGTTAAGTTGTGACTTGGTTGGATTTGAGGTTTGTTTGTTTTTTTTCCTGTTAAACTTTTATCTCCTTTCCTGTTCTCTTTTCCCCTTTTCTTTCTTCTCCTCTTCTTCTGCTTTCCTCACACTTCTCCTCTTCTTTTCTCTCCTCTCCTCCTCACTCTTCTTTCCTTTCCTCTCTTCTTCTACTCCCCTCACACCTCCTCTCCTGCTTTCTCTTCTCTTCTACTCTGCTCTACTTTATTCTCTCTTCTCTTCTCTTCTCTTCTCTTCTCTCCTCTCCTCTCCTCTCTTCTCCTCTCCTCCTCTCCTCCCTTCCCTTCCCTTCCTTGCTTTGTTCTCCTCTCTCCTTCTTTCTGACCTTTTCTCTTCCTCTGCTCCAAGTGACTTTGAGCTGTGTTGAAAAAAAATAGATGAAAAGCCGCAGGATCCGCGGGATCCAGGTGGCGGCACAATCCAGCTGGACACAGACAAAACTCGCCCTGTGGGGCTAATTAACAGCTATCAATGTCACCCTCACCAGGTCAGCCCTGTTAACAAGGCTGGATGAGGAAATGCGCTGCCCTTGGAAGGCTAAACTTACTTTTATGGAGATCAGTCATAATAACGGGTCATTGCCAGCCTTGTTGTGCTGGACTGCTTCCTCCTCCTCCTTATGCAACAGCTTGCACAGCTTCCAAGCACTCTCTTCCTTTCTGGACTTCTAGAAGAGGTTTCAGGCCCCCTTTTCCCCGGGAAACAGGTTCTGCATAGCTTCCTCAAGGTCATCTTCCCTCTTCTGTACATCTAGGACATCTTTGCTGTCCTTCAAGGTGGAGATGGTGGGTCTTCTGGTCTTCTCCACCTGCCCGGCTTTCCTTGTTCAGATCCTTCCAATATTAGAAAGTTAGAGTAAGAGTTGGAAGGGACCTTGAAGGTCTTCTAGTCCAACCCCCTGCTTAGGCAGGAAACCCTCTACCATTTCAGACAAGTGATTATCGAGTCTCTTCTTTAAAAAGTCCAGTTTTGGAGCATTCACAACTTCTGGCGGCAAATTGTTCCAGTGATGAATTGTTCTAATGATCATGAAATTTCTCCTTAGTTCTAAGCTGGTTCTCTCCGTGATGAGTTTCCACCCGTTGCTTCTTGTCCTGCCTGATTATCCTGCGCTGATATTCTTTTGTTTTTATTGTGTGTGTGTGTTTTTTTTCAGTTATGGGATCTGGCCGTATAATTTCTTTAAGAAGTTGGGGATTCCTGGGCCAAGACCCCTGCCTTTTATCGGAACTTTCCATAAATATCGGAATGTGAGTGTGTTGCACTTTTTCGCATCCTAGCAACTTGTAGAGAAACCCAACGAGTTTGGGGGGAAAGGGGTCATTTTTTTTTTTCTACTCCTTTCCTAAATTGTGGGGGATATTGCGACTTGTGTCAGGAGTGGTGCAAGGGATTACGGGGCCATTAAAAGAGGAGGAGGAGGAGGATGATTGTGACCTGTGTCACCTCATCTTGGCTTCCTCAAAAGAAGATCCAAGAGAATAAAGGGCTACTAGTACAGCTAATCCTCAACATCCAACTTCTCACTCCTTTATAAATTGAGGACTACGTCTAAAAGCCACCTGCCTTTTTTTGGCACCTCTCTTAGAAACCCTTGGTCTTCATTCTGAAACACTTGTCCCCGTATCGGTTTAACCATAATATCACATCAATAGAGATTCAAGATATACAGACTGAAGCATTTTTAACGGCCTCTTATACTCTTCCAGTCTTGGATGGAGAAAGGATTACATTGCCAAGTTTTCATGGATTTCCTTCCTTCATTTGACAGGGTGTTTTGAAGTTCGACCAAAGATGCTATGAGACATATGGCAAGATCTGGGGGTAAGTTACCTGTCGATATGTCACCTCCAGAAGGTCCTCACAGCTACAACCATCACAGCATCCGCACAGTCAAATTTTTTTTTAAAAAAGGCTGGCCCTTGTTTTTAGGACCATGGCAGCTTCCTGGGGTCACAATATTGCAGCTTATGACCTTCTCAGCTGGCATCCAACAAGCAAACTCCTGCTAGAAGGGAAGAGGGTTTGCAGGGAGGAGGAGGAGGAGGAGGAGGAGGAGGAGGAGGAGGAGGAGGAGGAGGAGAAATAATAGGGTTGTAGGGCCCTTGGTGCTCTCTGAGCTTGCAGACATTTCATGACCCAACTAGGGAACATCATCCATGTTAGACTGAAAGAAAACAAGGGTGCTCATGGAGCACCAAGGAACCTTCACTTCAACCTTGAGCTATAGATTTTCCCCTTTACTGGTATCCAAAGGGGTGTGTGTTGGTTGCAGCCGGGATTGATGATGTTACCTAGTTGAGTCATGAAATGTCCTCAAGACAACAAGCAAGCTCGGAGACCACCAAGGACCCCTCACATCCTTTCAGAATTGAACATCAGGATGATGTTCTGTGCTTGGCCAATTGTTCATTTGGAAAATAGGAAATCTTGATCCTGTCTTCTTTCAAAGATAAAGCCTACATTTCAAAACATCTTTTTTTTTTATTTTGACAATTAGAATATTTGATGGCCGGCAACCTGTGATGGCCATTTTGGATCCTGCCCTCATTAAAACCATTCTGGTCAAAGAATTCTATACTTATTTCACCAATCGCCGGGTAGGTGCCTTTGGAGGTTGTGAGAACTTCACTGGGGCTGAGAAATAGAAGGTCTGCAAGGAAACGTGGAAGAACAGGCCTGGTATTGTGGTTTGGGTGTTGGGCTGGCCCTGGGGAGACCTGGGTCCAAGGTCTCCCTCAATCCTGGAAGCCTCCCAGTTGATTTTGGGCCAATCACTCTTTCGCAACTGAAACTCACATAGCTGTTGTGGAAGACGTTGGAGATTTAACTATATATAAAAATTCCATTCTGAGAGTTAAGATGGTGTGTGTTTGTGTAGATAGATAGATATTGATAATGATAGAGAAAAAGATGAGAGAGAGAGATGATAAATGAATGGAGGGATAGATAGATAGATAGATAGATAGATAGATAGATAGATAGATAGATAGATAGATAGATAGATAGATAGATAGTATATTTAGTTAAGAAGACAGCAAATTGAAAAGAAAGGACTGAAAAGAACAAAATGAGACATTTCTGTTCTTCCTTTCTTGCTATTTCACCTTATTCAGGACTTTGGCCTGAATGGAAATCTGGACACAGCCATAACTGTCGTGGTCGATGACCAGTGGAAGAAGATTCGCAGTGCCTTGTCTCCCACTTTCACCAGTGGGAGGCTGAAGGAGGTAAGAGAGGAGTGTTTGATGCCTTTTGGACTTCTCAAGGATTCTTGCATTGCCTGAAGAAAACACAAGCTGCCCTCAAGCATTGTCAAGTTGTTGATTTTGAGTGAAGTTGGCCTTCGTTAGCATAGATTTAAAGTGTTTAGCAGCCTGGTTGATCCCGTTAGAAAAGCCTGTGAAATCCACCTGTCCTAAAAGGAAAGACTACATTTCCAAGAATCCTATAAATCTTATTCTGGATTGCCTAAGTTTTCTGGAGCCTCGCCAAAACGTTGTTAGGTCCCGTGTGTTTTCCTTGATGAAATCTGTATGCAACTTTAAACACACCCATTAATTCCCTTCAGCTATTAAGATAGACAATATCTTTTCGAAAAGCCTCTTCTTCATTACTGATTTTCGTCTTCCTAATTTTCTAAGAAATTCCAGCCCTCCTTGGAGTAGGTATTTGAAACCTTTGGCTAAATTACTCCACTTTTCCTATATCAAAGTAAGGTTGATCCTTCCGGACATGCTGGGATTCCAACTCTCAAAATGTCTGATTGGCACGGCAAGAGAACGTCGATGGGAAAACGTTTTCACAAGTGTCATTTTATTTCAGCTACAATTAATTATCTCCAGAATTGGGAAGGAAAAACCTGGTTAGTGTAGGTTTTCTTCCAGCTTTGGAATGACAGAGTTTTGCAAGTTCTCTCTATGAAAATGAACGGAGTTCTACTCATTTTCATAAATCTTAGCTGAATTTTATAAACAGCCAACATTTGTATGTTCTATTCTATTCTATTCTATTCTATTCTATTCTATTCTATTCTATTCTATTCTATTCTATTCTATTCTATTCTATTCTAAATGTCTTCAGCATCTTGTCCATTGGTCTTCCTTTCAGATGATGCCCATCATCAACCATTACAATGAAATCTTGGAGAAGAACATTCAGAAGAAAGTGGAGAATGATGAAATCATAGATATGAAGCTGTAAGTAATATATGTGAGATTGGTTAGGGAGCATCCTTTTTCTAACAGAAATTTACAAAAGGGGAATTTGTAATCCAGGTTTGTAATCCAAGTGGGTTCACATTTTCCATAATACGTGGAATCCCTTATGCAATTGATAAGGATTCTCTGAGATCATCGGTTGAACATATCATGAGGTGACTTCTAATGGTTGAACCTCCACACTACGCTTCTCCTTCATCCCTCCAGGATCTTCTCAGCCTACAGCTTGGATGTGGTAACCAGCACCTCATTCAGTGTCAACATCGATTCCCTCAACCATCCCAACGATCCGGTGGTTGTGCACATGAAGAAGTTCCTCAGATTTAGCCTCCTCAGCCCTGTTTTAATCTTGGCTGGTAAGATGTCTTTGTAAGGCCACAAAAGCTTACAAAATCTCTGCTCTGCACCTTGGTCACTTGCTGGAAAGGCGCTCATTATAATAGAGCACACTTCATGCTTGACATTTTATGGAGGATTCAAGTGATATCTTTGTAAAATTCCCATGTTCCCTCCCATAACTTCTTCCAGTTTTCTTTTTTTATCTTTCTGTAAACACTAGTTGAAAAGAGAAGAAAGAAAAATCAGAAAGTGCGTGTTTTTTGTGGTTGAGAAAGGTTGTTTTGCCACTGTCTCACACTGTCTCTTCAGCATCTGAGATTCTTGATTAGACCTTTAGAACTTCTTACCCTAAATTAGCACCATGCAAGGTCTTCACTGGCTACCATCCCAAGTCTGTGTTAATTGTTAATAGTGGGGACAGTGATTTAGGAGTCTGTTGGGTAGAAGAAAGCTATTGTACTAGCTGCTCAAGCTGGTAATTTTATTAAACATCATTTATTTATTTTACCGACTGGAATAGTTTTAGGCTGCCTCAGTCTTGATTTTAACCAACTCACGTAACTCCAATTTTGCTAGAACCTCTTTCCTCAACAAAGCTCATGGGGGCCTCCTACTGGGTTCTCTTCGTGCTGTGTTGCAGCTTGGTTGTGTTCAGGCAAATGATCTGTTTGCTTTTCTCACCCCCACCCCCCACCCCAGTCCTTTTCCCATTCCTTATTCCAGTGCTGGACAAGTTCAACTTGACCATATTCCCCAAGTCTTCGATAGACTTCTTCTTCAACATCCTCCAAAAAATCAAAGAAGATCGGCAAAAGAAGGGCCGTACGGTCAGTCTGGACTTTTTCGATTCATGCTTGCTCTTCTTCCGTAACCTCTCTGAATTTGCTTGCTTTCTTGCAGATCTTTCATGACCCAAACTAGGGTAAAATCAGTGCTAGAATTCTATTCTAAAAAGAAGGGAGTTGGGTTTGTGATTGGGCGGGGAGGAGAAATAAGAGAGGGAGGAGATCTCCGGTGGCTCTCTGAGCTTGCTTGTTTTCTTTCAGACATTTCATGACTCGACTAGGTAACTTCATCAGAAGGGAGTGATATCTGTGGAGTGATAGAGAAGAGGAGGAGAACTGTGGGGTCCTTGGAGCTGTCTGAGCTTGCTTGTTTTCTTCCAGTTGTTTCATAACATCATCGGTGCTATGATGTTAGTGAAACCCGCTCCCTTCTAGCACTGATGATGTTCCCTAGTTGGCTAATGAAACATCTGCAAGGGAACAAGCAGGCTCAGAGAGCACCAAGGACCCCTCACACCCCTTCTAAGTCTGCAGTGGGCAATTGGACCCCTCAATGACAGTTCCATCTCCCTTCTATGACAGTTCCTTCTCCCTTCTTCTTAACGACAGTTTTCTGGTCTCTCTACCCTTCCAGAACCGAGTTGATTTTCTTCAGCTCATGATGGACGCGCAAGCTGCAGCCAACAACTCCGGGGACCCAAATTCAGAGAAAGGTAAAGTTACAGGTCTTGTTTTTGAAAATATATACATAAGGTTCCTTGGGGCTATTGTTCATCACGTGGATGAACTCAAGATAAACATTAGCAAATGATGCTAAGACGATGGGGCGCTGGAAGAGAGGATGAATGAAATATACAGGTAATCCTTGACTTACAACAGTTCACCTAGTTGACTGCTCAAAGTTACAACGTCACTGGAAAAAGTGACTTTTAACTGTTTTTCACACTCACAACCATTGGCATCGCTCCTCAGACAAGTGGCTGTCTTGGCTCTTCTTAAAAATCTTCAGTGATGGAGCACCCACGATTTCTGGAGGCAACTTCTTCTGTTCCACTGGTTCATTGTCCTCACTGTTAGGAAGTTTTCTTTCTTCATTCTGGATTGCTTGTCTCTTTGATTTTTTTCCATCCTTTGTTTCTTGTCCTGCCTTCTGGTTCTTTGGAGAATAATTTGACCCCTTCTTCTTTGTGGCAGCCCCTCAAATAAAAACGATGGATGATAACACCTATGCTACTCCTTTAACTTAAGTGATTATTACTTTACCTGTCTACTTTAGGTCATCGTAATCCAGAGAGGGTGTGACTTTAACTTCAGACCTCTTCCTTTAAGTTTTCTCGCTCTTAAAGCAGAGTTGCAAGAAGGAGATCAAATGTTCCTATTTTAAATTAGTCGACATTCAAATATCACCTATAATTATGCTTGTCTGTGGCATATTGACAGCTTCGAAAATTCACCTGTTTTCTGCAAAATACAGTTAACATTAGTTGAAGTGAGTGTGAAAAGAGAAAGCAAAGGGAAAAAGAGAAGATTCTAAAGACTCTGGAAGTTTAAGGTTGATTAATTTTAGATCTATCTCTATTTTTCCTTTACTGTGCCAATATTTAATAGAAATAGTATTTCGGCTTATCTACTACCCCATAGTGGGTAGGAGTTGTGTAGTAGCACTGTGGGTAGTCTGCAATGTAGAAAAATTACGAGCATATTGCCCCCAACAATCTGGGTCCTCATTTTATTGATCTCAGAAGGACCGAAGGCTTAGTCAACAGGAAAAAAAACACCCCAACCCAGAATGTGTTCATTTGATCAAACTAACATTTGGTATTTTAGTTTTCCCAGCCTGCAGCTGCAAATACAGCTGCTGACATTCTTCATGTGATGAGACAGAGACAGAGACAGAGACAGAGACAGAGACAGAGACAGAGACAGAGACAGAGAGAGAGAGAGAGAGAGAGAGAGAGAGAGAGAGAGAGAGAGAGATGTTTATGGTTGTTGATCAAATCAGATCCCCTGGATAATTGGGTTACCCTGAAAGCGACAAGTCAATTTGAAATATTTGCTCTTGTATATGTGTGGTGTGAGAGTGAATGCTGTGTGGATGACCACAAACTTCTTCTTTTTCTTATAATTTTTTTTATTACAGTTTTCAAAAATACAAATCTCACTCATATTTGTAACAACGTTTTGGCATTGGCAAATACATATATCCTTCGTACATTATTATATACATACATATGTTGATACTTTATTAAGGTCTCTTTCTATATTTACCATAAGCCTTCTTCCTAATCTTTATATCTGTTTTTTAACCACTCATACCATTTATCCCATATTGCATAATATTTGGAATCCTCCTTTTCTTTCATTTCCAAAGTGAGCTTATCCATTTTGAC